GAATTCTCCCACACAGTTTGCTCGTGCCATGTCTATGGTTCTGGATCCCTGGCAGAAATCTCATTTGGATGTTGTTCTACTTCAATATGTTGATGATCTCCTTCTCTGTGCTCCTGATTTGCTCATTGCAGAGCGAGACTCAGAAGATCTCCTAAGTTTCCTTGCTGCAGCTGGTTGCAAAGCATCAAAATCAAAGCTACAATGGTGCCGGCCCTCTGTGGTCTTCTTGGGACATTGCCTTTCCCATGGCACCAAACATCTAACCTCTCAACGTGTGCAAGCCATTCTGCAACTTCCTTTACCTGCGACACATCAGACTCTTCATGCTTTTTTGGGTCTTATCACATACTGCAGGTCCTGGATACCCGAAGCATCAAAGCTCATGCAACCACTCTATGATGCCCTCAGGAGTGAGCCCTTTCACCTCACTGAAGAAACTATCATCTGTTTCCATAATCTGAAAAGAGCTATTGCTTCTGCACCTGCTTTGGGCCTACCCAACTACCAACTTCCTTTCAATCTGTTTGTCTCTGAAAAGTCCGGACATGCTTCCGGAGTCCTTACCCAGAAACATGGATCAAGACAACGACCTATTGGCTATTTTTCCTGCATGCATGACCCTGTTGCGAGAGGTAGTCCCTCTTGCCTCAGAGCGGTGTTTGCCGCCAGCGCCCTCCTGGATAAGACCAATGATTTTGTTCTTGGCCACCACCTCACAGTGTTGGCCCCTCATGACATTACTGCAATCCTACAACAAACTCAACCCAAGCACCTTTCCTCCCAACGTCACCTTCGCCTACAGACCTCCTTACTCCTACCTGACAATGTGAAACTCCAGAGATGCCTTTCCCTGAACCCAGCCACTCTTCTGCCACTTCCCAAGGGGGGAATTGTGCATCACTGGTACAGCTTGGATATCAACCCAGAGGTTCGAGCAGATTTACAGTTGCCTGCACTTACACCTCCACATGATGAACAATCAGAGGCCCTACTCCACTGTACCTTGTGGTTTAGGGACGTACCAAGCCCTGATATGGACTATGAGGAAGAACTATTCCAGCTCAAAGAAATTCAAATTACCCTGACTGACTTATTCTGGGACTCCGCAGGTACCATGCTTATTTTGGTTCGCCTTCCAGAGAATGTAACACACCTCTATCACCATTGGGAAACAGCTATCCCACACATATCTCTCACCAGATCCCACAACACCTCATGGAAGGACTTAGGCCCGATGGCCAGAACCTGGAACCAAATGACTCAAGAACAATTGACTTCTACGGGGATCAATAAAAAGACCATTAATTATTGCACAATAGGGTACCCCAGGTACCACACAGAGGTCTGTGAGGACCCACTTACCACAGACTGCGACCTCATTGATATTCCCCATGACTGTTTTGAACAAATGAAAATGGAAACTACACACCTACCAACTGTTTATGAAGCTGCATTACTCAACCCGGATCAAACACTATTTGTGGATGGCTCAAGGTTTGCTGATGAACAGGGACAATATCACACTGGATATGCAGTCACCACAGGATGCCAAGTATTACAAGCAGCTGCCCTACAATCAACTAAGTCTGCCCAAGAAGCCGAGTTAACAGCCCTGACTGTGGCCTGCAAACTGTCTGAAGGTCTCCGTGTTAACATTTATACGGACTCAAGATATGCCCTAGGAGTGGCACACGATTTTGGCTTAATTTGGAAGACCAGAGGATTTCTTACAGCTACTGGTACCCCAGTAAAACATGGGGCAGCCATTGCAGAACTGATGGATGCATTGGAACTTCCAGCAGAGGTGGCAGTATTGAAAGTAAAAGCCCACGGAAGATTAGACACAGAAGAAGCACGTGGCAACCACTTAGCTGATCAGGCAGCTAAAAAGGCAGCACGGCAAGGATGGGAAGTGGACAGAAGAGTGGCCACAGATACATTACCTATCTACACTATGCAGACATTGCCTACAGATCTCAGGCTCCTGAAGGAACAACAAGCTGCTGCCACTCCTCAGGAGAAACAAAGTTGGAAGAACAAAGGAGCAGTACTCCGTGATGATGTTTACACCATCAATCTCAAGTTCTGCCTACCTAGAAGTATGTACCCAGCAGTGGTCCAATGGGCCCATGGGCCAGCCCACCTGTCAAAGCTCTTGATGAACTCACTGATTGACAAGTATTTTGAAGCACCAGGCATCACTACTTTAACACAGAACTACTGTAAATCTTGTACAATATGTGCTAAATGCAATCCTGGAAAAGTCATAAAGACTGCACCTAATCACCTAGCCAAGCCACAATACCCCTTCAGAGGATTCAGATTGATCACATTCAGATGCCAAAGAGTGGACGTTATGAATATGCATTGGTTATAGTAGACATGTTTTCAGGATGGCCAGAGGCCTTCCCAGTGACTAATCTCACCGCGAGGACTACAGCCAAGTACCTTTTGACAGAAATTGTTTGCCACTATGGGGTTCCAGAAGTAATTGAGAGTGACCAAGGGACCTCCTTCACTGCCTCGCTAACACGGGAAGTCTGGTCAGCACTGGGGGTGACCCTTGCATTCCACACACCATATCACCCACAGAGTAGTGGTAAGGTAGAGCGCATGAATGGCACTCTGAAAGCCAGAATGCTTAAGATGTCACAAGAAACTAACATGCCCTGGCCTGAGAGTCTCCCATTAGCGTTGTTTAGTGTCAGATACACTCCCAGGGGAAAATACAGCCTGTCACCTTATGAGATTTTGTTTGGTACAGCACCCAGGTTAGGTTGCTACTTTCCCCAACAGCTTCAGATTCAGTCAGACGCTATGGTAGACTATGTGACTGCCCTCTCACATGCCTTGACCAAGATACATGCCCAAGTGTTTTCTTCTATTCCAGATCCTGAGTCGAATACAGGTACACACAAGCTACTTCCGGGTGACTGGGTTATGGTCAAGAAGTTTCTTAGGAAACACACCCTAGAACCAAGATTTGATGGTCCTTATCAAGTGCTCCTGATTACAGCAACGTCAGTTAAACTAGCTGGAAAGAGTTCTTGGATACACGCTTCACATTGCAAAAAAGTGCCTGTTCCAGAAGAAGCTGATCCTGCTGAAATATGAATTTATTATGTGTCTTGTGTTTTCTTATGTTGCTACACGTTGTCTGGGCCCAACAAGTGGCCATAACCAAAGATGATCACGTTTACACTTTCTGGTATAATTCTTCTAATACTGATGTAGCTACATACACCTTTGACTACTGTGACATAGTTACTTGTACATTTCCACAAACACAATATGCAGCCATATACAAGGACATACCTAACAAAAAGGATCCATACATTTGTGTGACTGGAGGAGTTTGGGGACACCATTGTAGTTCATGGAAAGCTGCCGGGTGGAACACAGGTAGGCCATGGGGCTACAGACCTCAAGTTGCACTGGACAGACTCGACAAAGACGGGAAGCCCTTACTTTCTAGAATGACCCTGAGTAAACCCATAGGGTCAACTCCCATTAAACTTACCCTAAATATAGAACACCCTAGTCCAAGGGATGCAGGGGAATATGTGATGGGAATGTACTGGAAGGGAGGCGGCTCACATAATGCATTGGGGACATTTTACCTACAAGATATGCTTAACTCCTCAGACTGGGTAGGGACTACACATATGGTCATTAACCCATTGAAACCACACATTAAGACCCTACATGACATGGTAGCTATAGCTAACCCCACCTTTGAGGATACCATGGCAGTAGAAACTGGGTTTTCAGACACTAATTTGTGGCTAGAGTGGATGAGGTATAATGCTAACTCGCATAATAAGACTAACTGTTATGTATGTGGAGGAGCCAGACCCCATCTGGGCACAGTACCTCTGAGTTTACCTCCTGAAATAGAATTTGTGTACTGAGTTTGAATGCACAATCCACCACTAACTCCTCAACATGTGAATCCTGGAAGAAAGTTTACCCAATCACCCATGGACATGTGAAACCACCTGATGGAGTCACCATCTACCCAGGTAATTACACATGCTATTCAATACCTAAGAACGCTGGGTTGTATCTGGGCAAATTCCCATCAGGATACTGCTCAACTTACCGTAATCCACCTGCATCACTGCTAATGAACCACACAAAGACAATCGGGGATATCTATTGGTTATGTGGTGACAAACAATTGAGGTCCCAATTAACTGGGCAATGGTGGGGGGAGTGTGCCCTAACCAAAGTCATAATGCCTATCCACATTATTCCAGATGGTAGTCATAACACGTTAAATTTTACATATACACACTCTAGAACCAAACGAGAGGCTCCTATCCGAGGGAGCTTCAACCACCATGTGTATATTGATGCCATAGGTGTGCCAAGGGGGGTGCCTAACGAATTCAAAGCAAGAGATGAAGTGGCTGCAGGATTTGCATCCCTAATTCCAATGATAACTGCTAACAAAAATGTCAATTGGATCAACTACATCTATTACAATCAGCAGCGCTTTGTTAATTATACAAGGGATGCCCTACAGGGCCTAGCAGAACAGCTACAAGCCACTACCCAAATGACATTCCAGAACAGAATGGCCCTAGATATGATTTTAGCTGAGAAGGGGGGAGTATGTAAGATCCTCCCCGAGACCATGACATGCTGCACATACATTCCAGACAACACTGGGCCCAATGGTAAGGTGACTATGGCCATAGAGAAACTAGATAGTCTTGCAGACGAGCTAAAGAAGAATTCCGGAATCACTGACACGTGGGACAGATGGTTTGGGTGGATGAATGGTTGGCAAAGGACCCTCTTCCAGGTGGGAACAGCTGTTCTTATAATGATCATCATTTTCTTATTTTTAACCTGTTGCATACTCCCTTGACTGTAGATGACGTGACCCCTACTTTCCTACATCACGATATCACAGACCTCGAAGATGACTCCACATACACCCCTACAATCACATCAGTTCAAACAGACGACTGCTTTCCTGTAGGGATAGTGTAGGGAAAGCGTCTGTCTTAACAGGCGAGTCTCACGTGTGGAGATGTAGTGGACTAGCCACTGCGGGTTACCCACGGAGTGAAGTGTTCGATGCTTGTTAAGACAGATAGGTTGCAGGCAACTAGGGACATATTAGGGACAGTAGCAGTTGTTATGGTAAATAGCCATTTTAGGGGGGACTGTTGTGGAAATAAGGTCTGCACATATTTCCTAATTAGAGAAAATGTCTATTTACTCATTTCACGATATATCACATATAAAGCTAAGCACACATGTTTTAATCGAAATGGCTGCTAGAAGCTTCTAACCCCTCCCCCCCCCCCTTCCCTTCTTAACATCGACTAACTACCTCGTGCAGCAAGATGGCGCCGGAAAACCGTGGGAGACCCTCATGGCCCGGTGACATCACCTACAGTAGGCAGAGCATTAGAGCAACCACTTAACACCTAACCAATTATTGATGTATTATTCCATGTTATCTCTGACAATGCTTATGATGTAATTTTGCTTTAAAAGGGACCTGCCGTCCCCTCTGAATAAACTTTCCTCAAGTTATTCAACAACCTGGAACCTGTGTCTGGTGTGAATTACTTGAGGGAGCGTGAACGCATTGTTTCATTGATTTGGCCAGGGGCAGATACACAAAGAAATAATCAATACATTGATTGATTTTTCCATTTCAATAACGCAAGAGCGATTTAAAAAAAAAAAAAATTTGAAAGGTTTTTTTTTAAAAAAAGTACTTAAATTTATAATTTTTTTTCCTTTTTACTATTTTCTATTCTACTTTTTTTCTATGTGTGTCTGTGAGGTGCTGTGTGTGTTTGTGTGTGAAGGGTGTAGTGTGTGAGGGGTGCTGTATGTGGGTGAATGGTGCAGTATGTGTGAAGTGTGTAGTGTGGGTGAGGGTTGCAGTGTGTGTGTGAAGGGTGTGGTGAGTGAAGGGTGCAGTGTGTGTGAAGGGTGCTGTGTGTGTGTGTGTGTGAAGGGTGCTGTTTGTGTGAAGGGGTGCTGTATGTGGGTGAATGGGGCAGTATGTGTGTAGTGTGGATGAGGGGTGTAGTGTGTGAAGGGTGCAGTGTGTTTGTGAAGGGTGCTGTGTGTATGTGTGTGTGTGAAGGTTGATGTTTGTGTGAAGGGTGCAGTGTGTGTGAGAGGTGCTGTGTGTGTGTAAGGGTTGCTATGTGTGTGAAGGGTGCTGTGCATGTGTGAGAGAGCAGTGCACGTGTGAGGAGGCAGAGCGTGTATGAGGGGGCAGTGCATGTGTGAGGGGGCAGTTTGTGTGTCTGTGTGTGAAGGGTATAGTGTGTGTGAGGGGTGTAGTGTGTGTGTGAGGGGGGCAGTGCATGTGTGAGGGGACAGTGCATGTGTGTGGGGGGCTCTGTGTGTTTGAGGGAGGCAGTGTGTGAGGAGGCAGTCTGTGTAAGGGGCAGTCTGTGTGTGGGGGCAGTGTTTGAAGAGGCAGTGTGTGTGAGGGGCAGTCTGTGTGTGTGTGTGAGGGAGGGCAGTGTGTGTGTGTGTGTGTGTGAGGGGTGTAGTGTGTGAGGGGGCAGTGTGTGTGAGGGGGGAGAGTGTGTGAGGGGGCAGTGTATGTGTGAGAGGAGTGTAGTGTGTGTGAGGGGGCAGTGTGTGTGAGGGGGCAGAGTGTGTGAGGGGGAAGTGTATGTGTGTGAGGAGTGTAGTGTGTGTGAGGGGTGTAGTTTGTGTTTGTGAGTGAAAGGTCATAGGGTCTATGCTGTGTGTAGGTGGGTGAGATGTGAAAATCTATCCTTATGTCTCCCTCTCCCTTTCTTTTACCTTTTACCCGGGAGGGGGAATATAATGCTGCAAGCCCTGATGGTCCAGTGGTGGCATTCACTTTAGCCTGCAGCTCCTCCGGCTGCAGGCTGACTCTCCTGGCCTCCTGCGAGCATAGCAATGTATCAGAGCACTGCCATGGTGATGTGCGGCAAAGCTACAACCAGCCTGCTCATGGGAGAAACACAGAGCCTCCCAGGCCCTTCCCTCTCTCTGCTGGAACTAAGTGCCAGAGATCCGGTGAGGAAGATATTTGATCTCTTCAGCAGCCCGAGAGGGATTACAGCAAGACTGGCTCTGCATGGGCCGGCAGGGGACATGAAACTCCCTGTTTTGTACAATGCATTTCCTCTTTCCATCTTTTCTGTCACGATTTTTCTTTTTTTGGTTCACAAATGTATTCACTCCCAGAATAAAAAGCACAAATGTGCAACATCTTTTCCAACAAATCTTTTCACCACTGTCAGAGTAACAGTTTTGTGTGCCAGGCCATTAAGTTTTTTTTTTTTTGCTTGTTTAACTAAAGAATAATTAAAAAAAAAAGAATACTTTTTTCCTACTATTACTTATGTGTCTTCTCATGATGAATTGATCAGGTAAAAAAGGAAGAAAAATCCAAATTATTATGTTTTTTTTAAAAGCGCCAACAAATTCTACAGTGCTTTACAATAGGTGGACTAACAGACATGTATTTGCAACAAGACAAGTTGGATGCACAGGAACAGATGTGTTAAGGGCGCTGCTCAAACGAGCTAACATTCAACAGGGATTGGGGTAAAGTGGCACAAAAGGTAAGGGTAGGATGTTTTTCATGTATGGGAAAAAGTAGGTTACTAGAATAATTTACAATGAAGGGTTAGTTTATTGAATGACACAGTTGCAGGAAAGGAAGCAGGTGAGCCCTGCTCAATGAGCTTACAGGCTAAAGGAAGTGGGGTAAAGTGACACAAAAGGTGATGGTAGGAGTAGAGAAATAGATTGGTAGAATAGTATTCACTGAAGACTTAGTGTGGTTTTTAATCACTGATCAGTGGGCCACCTCCTTCCTCCCCTCCCCCATCCTGCTCCCCCCCAGACACACAAACACATACATACACACACATACATATACACACACACATAGACACATACAGACACACACACAAAACACATACATACAGACAGGCACACAAACATACAGACAGACAGACACACAGACACATACATACAGCCCGAAACAGACAGGCACACACACATACAAAGACACATACATACAAACAGACAGGCACACATACATAATACAGACGCACAGACAGACAGATACACACACATACACACAGACATATACAGACAGACACACAGACCCATACAGACAGACACACACATACAAAGACACATACATACATTACAGGGGGCCCGGTCGCGCTGTTAAAGTGCCACAGCGCTGACCGGGCCCTCTGACAATCCATACCCATCGGGTGGCTCTTACAGCATGGGCCATCCGATGGACCTCTCGGACGGCGGCCCCAGTGGTTACCGGTTGCAGCGGTCCGCAGGGCGGCCGGGCCCCTGGAGTGACGGGCCCGGTCGCAGCGGCGACCCCTGCGACCGCGATATGTGCACCACTGGTTGCAGGAGAGGAATTAATTGGGAGCTATTAACAGTTTAATTGATACGCTTTCATGAAAAAGTGATTTTTTTATGATTTTTTGAAGGAGTGGAGACTGGGTGAGCATCCAACGGAGAAGGGAAGGGAGTTCCACAGAAATGGTGCAGCCCTAAAGAAGTCTTGAAGGCAAGCGTTAAAGGTGGGAGTACGAACAGAGGATAGACGTAGGTCTTCGACAGAGCCTGGGGGCCTAGACGGGACATACTTGTGTATTAGGGAGGATAGATTATGGTATGTAGAGATTTGAAAGTAAGGACCAGAATTTTAAATTGAGCCCTATATCTTATGGAAAGTCAATGCAGGGATTGACAGAGGGGTGAGGCAGATAGGAAGATGAGCCTCGCTGCCGCATTCATTATAGACTGTAACGAGGCAAGTTGGGAGCACGTAAGGCCACTGAGAAGCAGATTGCAGTAGTCAAGGCTAGAGAGGATAGTGGCATGGACCAGCACCTAAGCCGCATCTGGCGTTAACTAGGGGCGGAATGCCCACAATGTTTTTCAGATGGATGTGGCAGGGTTTGGTGATGAGGGACGAAGGAGAGGTCAGAGTGAAAGAGAACATATAGGCAATGAGCCTGCATGGTGGAGGTGATGGTAGCACCATTAACATGGAGGGAGACAGAAATGGGAGTAGCAACACTTGAAGGACGAAAGACCAGAAGTTTTTTAAAATTTTTATTTTTGCATTACAGAGAAATCTAATAGTTTGCGTGCGGTACCCCAACGGCATTCCTCACGCTGAATTTCAACATTGTTAACATTGGGGCGTTCAAGATTATGTGCACATGTTTTTTGTTAATTTGGACGAAGTTGATCATGTTTAAATCATGCAATTTACTCGTTACGTGTGTCAGGCAAATCTAAGCAGTTTTGTCATCAGAGTAAGGTAGTTAATCAAAGTTTAACAATGCTTAAGTAACTGAACTAGTGTAACTATAGTATGCGAGCATGTTATGTAGTTTAGTAGATGGTGGCTAGTGTGTGGTATAGAAATACATTACGCAGATCATGGGTAGGTTAGGAGTCCTGGGTAAAGTATAAGCATTCCAGTCCTACTATGTATAGTTCAATCAACAGTCGGCAGCTTCATCTCTCAGTCGGTCATATCACACTGCTTAGATAATCCGATCCCTGTGCGCAGCTGGGTAAGGGAGTGTACGGAGAGGTTCAATGGGTCGGCTGTGCAGCCCCACTCAGGCATGGTGTTTCCTTGGCCCTGGATCAAAGTGAGAGCTGGTACTTTCAGGCCACGAGCCTGGGGTCCTTCCAGGTCCAGGGTCTTTCCCGACGGCTGGGTGCGTTGGACCTTGTGTGGGTCGGGCCTGTGTATTCACGTGGTTCCTGCGGGTCTCCGCTTGTGTGGCCGCCTGGCCGGTATCTGTGGGTCTGTCCCCTCAGTGCCCTCTGTCCAGGTGGGTTTTTCATGGGAGTTGCAGGGGTATGGTTTGTCTTTATGCCCTTCAGAGGTGTCCCAAGCCTCTTGGTGCTGCAGACTTGCGCTTGAGGGGGGTCAGAGATGGGTATTGTCATGGCTGGTCATGTGCGGGCCAGTAACTGAGCCCAGGACCGGTCGAAGATTTCCTCCAAGGAGTCTCTCGCTTTAGGGATGTGGCTGGGTGTTGCAAGCTGCTGCTGCTTGCCACGAGTGTTGCAGTCGCTAGTGTTCGCCATTTTAGAGGAACTGTTGGCTTTGGCTGTTGGCTCCGTCTGCAGGTATGAAGCCGGGCCAGCTCTATGTGGATATCCCCCACCTGTCCATGGTGGGGGGTGGTGATTGGTGCTTGCCTGTGGCTCGGAGTGGTGAGCGGGAAGTGGCCGCC